AAAGTAGGTTTAGGCGAAGGAAAGCCTTATTTAAAGTTTGAGTGCATTTATTTTAAGCCTCTAAGAATTTTGTAGCTTTGTCACAAAAACTTAACACTAGGTCACAAATGCCAGCATTTGAGGTTTGACATGGGTTTCTCGCGAATTCGCGAAAGAAGAAGATGAGGTCCATGCACGTTTTTTCTGGATTCAAAAAATAAAGTGTTCCACATGTTTCAATTTGTTAGCAATCATTTCTCCGTAAATACTTTTTGATGAAGTGCTGTGTTACACATTTAGTAGGGCTGGGCGTCGATTAAAAATTTTAACCCGATTAATCGCCACCCTTTAATCGATTAATTAATCGATTGATCGGTTGCGTTAATTTTTATAAATAACATATTAAGAAGAATGCAACAACTCTTCTTGCCTTTGAAGACTTGTTTTAGTCTCTGTTACAAGGTGCAAAGGACAGTTAGAATTGAGGATACATATAGATAAACATGTTTGCTCCAGCTCCGAAGTCAAAGACGTTTGTCCACATTCTCCGACAGGAAGACAAGAAGCCAGAGCTTGGGCGATGCTTTCTTCTTTTTTTCAGAAAAAGGAACCTCGATGAGAAGGCGTTGATTGTTGTCTGCGTTTTGGCGGATGGTCCTCGCTGCAGCTACATGGGTGCTTCGCTGTGGCGATACTGAAGCGAACTTACGCTTCCACTGTACGAAAACGGCTTTTTTTTAGATGATGCAGTGGACTTCCTTCGAGTTAAAAACTTCACCGCTGGAGTTTACTTTAAACCCAAACTTTCCAGCGATATTGCCTTTCATACTCGTGAACTCGTCCATTTTTACGTGCCGAATACTGGAACAAGTAACCATGGCGCTGTTAGCTTCCCAGCTTGTTTTTGTGCTTGTTTGTCTTGCCTGGGCAGGATGTGTAATAGATCCACACACTGTAATATATATCCTCGAACACGTGGCGCTTCGCGAGCGCGAGAATTGAACCTTGCTCATTGCACCTGGCTGGGAACGGACTTCTTTTGGCTACCGATTAAAAAACCGATTAACCGGTTAAAAATATTGATCGCGATTAAAGCCTTAATCGATTAATCGGAAGGTTAATCGATCAATTGCCCAGCCCTAACATTTAGTATAACTTCTTGTAGCTGAATGAAGTGAGAGTTACTGCGCAGGCGAGCTGGTGAAGGATCATGGTGAAAAAAACCCAAGACTAGGACAAAAAATCGGGACAACACAACACGTCTCAAGACATTTTGAGGCAGTATTGTGTTTTCCCAATTTTTTTGTCACTAGTCTCGGGGTTTACCCACCATGCTCTTCTAGCTGCAGTACACGTTTTTGGTAGGGTGTACTGCTGCCATCACACCCTAATAAATAGGTGTAGAGCAGAATCACTCCTTTCTGTGTAGGGTGTAAGGGATTACACCGGTTTTTGAGGGTGTGAGAAATAACACCATTTTTCTAGGGCGTTTTTGTACACCAATAAGGGGGTGAGTTGTGACCCATGCCATTTACACCAATAAGGGCGTGAAAATGTTTAGTGTGATAGATAAAAATAAGAGTAATGTCAGAGCTTACCAAGCAGCAAAAGTAGAGCTACAATTAAGTCAAGTTTTTCTACTTGTATATTTTGCATACATCGGGAAGTGAATAAAGCATTACCACGACATATCACAGACTGCCAGTGTTCTAGTGGACGAACACTGGGCACTGCTGTTTTTGTGAGCCTCGTTCGTCCAGGGTCCATGAAGTCGTGTACAGTGAAGTGGGCGCTGCACACGTAGTAGCTTGCATATAGGCGCGCCGCCGGTTTGTCCATGAGGTCATGTCTCTTGGCGTACTCGACCCACGCTTTAGACCTGTGACATGTAGTACAGGTATATAAATGCCTGAAGATGACTAAGACCTTAAATTGCAAGAGGCGGTTAATACATAGGCCATCGCTGTTTAACAGGAATGCCTCTGTTCCTTCATCACAGATATATAATTTTATCTGTTCCTTCAAAGTTACAGGATGTCACAGAAAGAACAGAAATTTTCAATGACAACTATTTTTGTTCATGATATATTCAGTGAAGTGTTACGTCTGTGCTGATGTGAAGGCAAACACACAGTAGTGTCCTATACATTAGTTTCTCATAAGTACAGGCTATGTGTGAGATTACGAAGTACAGTTTTAAGAAAATGAAATAGATAACAATTTTACGGCTGGTAAGTGACTGTGTTACTTAACCACCTTAGTATAGTTTGAGCAAAGGTTCTGCGAGTACTCCAGAGCTCTGGTCCTTCGTCTCGCCTGCACTGTTTTTAATCATCACATTGCAAAAGAATTCGCCCAAGTTTTTCCCTTACTACAGCTTTGAAACTAGTTTCAAAGAAACAAACTTTCTGTTTTTTCGCTTTGACAGCTGAACAGTCATCCAGTAAGTTTCTAAAACAAAGACAGATGGAAACCATGGCTACTTGCTGTCCCGCGGAACCCGGAAAAACTTTGTTCCCGGTTTCTTGCACGTTCTTCCGTTGTTACCGTACCACGCTACGCAGCAGTAGCTACCTTAGCTGGGCATTTCGACGGCATGCGCTGCAGAAGAAAAGTTACAGAATTGGCGCCGTGAGATTTCGATATGCCTGCGAAAAGGGAGCTGGTCATGACACAATAAACTGTACTACTATACAAAACACAAGGTCAAGTTCGTACTGTATAAATCACGAGGTAACCACGGTGCACGAACAGCGCCCTTAAATAAAGAGATGAATTTCATGTTAGTATCGACCAACTCGGACGACGTGAAACCAATGCTTCGACGCCTTATGATACTATGGTTCCCTATGGTACTCCAGCATACACCAGTGCGCAGGGTGCACCGAATTGCGCAGATGATCGGATGCCTTGCTCACCCGTGATTTAAATTCTTTGAGCTGGCTCTTCTCGACCAGATCAAATTAAAAGCATGATGCTGCGGCATGTACTTTCAACATTAAGAAGAAGAAAACCTTACGCAAAGAGCGAAAAACCCGTGCGAGTAGGTGAAACCACACCACATTGAGCGAAGTGTCTCAGGACCTCTCTTTGGCGGCACCGACTCTCGGCCCCCGCAGAAACTGTGTGCTCCATTTCACCGTAAGTGCCAGGAAAGAAACAACTACGAGAGAGATAGCTCGACACTTTAAATGAGCATGTAATGCACGCGCAATTGAGAAGTGAAGGCTGGAATCAGCGTCGCTGAAGACAACGCGTACGTGTTTGCAGCGTCAGACGCTTCTGCCCTGCTGCATTTCACACTATGTTACAGAGAAAAGCGGCAAGTCCGAAAGACGCTGACGCCCAACAGACCCGTGAAACACTCCTCAAGTGGTTGCGTAATCGTGTTTTGAAATGGCTCACCTTTTGCACGAAGCGAACACCGAGAAATCCACGTGACGACAGGAAGAGTGGCAGACCGCCCGAGCCACCGAGCCCAACACCCAGGCTGCCGTTATGGCGGCGTTTTGCCCAAGCGGAAGTTGCAATTATTGGAATATTTTCTCTAACCTTCGAAGCTACTAATAATTTTAAAATCTTTTAAATTAAGATAGAACAATTTATGAACGGTGAAAATATAACAAATGTATAAATAATTCGGCACCTTGGCGCCAGCTGGCGGCTGCCGTGAAACCTACTTCCTGGGCCGCGATAGGGTTCGAGTGGCCACTCTTTACGTTCCACTATATTACTCTATGGTATAGCGAATTGGTCTGGCTTTGGTTTTGTGCTTCGGCCGTCAGAGGGCAGGACAGCTGCCGACAAGAGGCGCTTGGATAAGAATCTGAAACCAGAGTACGCGTCAGAATTTAAGAATTTTTCAAGGTAAAAGGCTCGGAATGCCTTATACTTGCCTAAAGAAGGTTAAAATATGGGTTATTGATGATGCCCAGTAAGTTTCTAAATGAAACTATGGCTTTAAAATGAACAAATAAAAAGTTACTTTCTAAAAAACAAAACAAAAACTATTTTTACCAAACGTTATTATTTTTTCTAAATAGGCTCTTGAACAGACATCAACACGGCATCAACTTTTTTTTTCTGTGGGATGTTTAGTTCACGAAGCAATCTAAACTTTCCGTCAAAGGTGTAATTTACAAGTCTGCTTTTCTTGTGAAATTACAAAGCTTACCTCCATTTTTGTAAAAAAATAGGGCCAAAAAACTTGCCAGGGTCAATGACGGGTGGCGACGCAGACGACTCACTCGAGCGGCGGGGCGTGTTTGGCACACGTATTGATAGATGGCGTCGGGAGCCGCGTCCGAAGTTGTATCCGACCAGCAAAAGAAAGCAGACGACACGCACACCAAATCCGCCGGCAGCAAAAACGCCGTCGTTATGCAACCGCGTTGTTTTTCTTTTAACTTAAAAATTTGTTTTTACTGTCCGCACTGTTTTTTTTTTTTCTGTAAAAAAAGGTGCATTACAAAAAGATTATCTTCATTTTAAAATCGCGGTCGTCGCGAGCAGTCTCGATAAGAAGGTAGCGCCATCTATCGATACGTGCGCCATACGCGCCCCGCCGCTCCACCCACTCCTCTGCGTCGCCGCATACCGTTGACTCTGGCAAGGTTTTTGGCTCTATCTTTTACAGAAATGGAGCTACGATTTGTAATTTTACAATAATATACCGAGCTGTGAAATACACCTTTCACGAAATATTTAGATTGCTTCGTGCAGGCGTCAATTTGTACGGTCCATATTAAAACGAGCCTGGTCACTTCAGCCACCTTATATATTATCTGACGCAAGAGAGAGCAAACAATGCTACTGCGGTGGCCGCCGATCAAAATAGGAAAACAAGCAGGCATAGTTGTTTTCCACAAATATACCGCCATTGGAAACACAATGGCATTGTAAATAATATAAAATGTCCTAATGATGCCCGAGAAGCTGACGCAGAGAAAATATTTGAGTGTGCTCTATTTCGACGCGTAGTGACTGCTCCTAACTGCGCAGAAAAATTTACCGTAAATAGAATGATAAATGTAATAGGAAGGACGCGATCCTTTCAAAGAAGACACAGAGGAAATGCGCAGCACGGCGAACTCTTCCAAAACCTTAAAGGGATACAATAACGAAATTTCGGCGCTCATTTTATGGTCTATCACATGGTGTTCAAAGGAGCAGTATCATATCGAACACACCAATTTCTTGTTAAAAAGTCACGAAAAGTAATTTTAAAACGAATTAAGCGATTATCAAAGAGCACCTGGTGGATGTCACTAACGCCTCGTTTGTAATGCCCGTCTAGCTAGGGAGCCTACATGTGTGCTGCGCTTAGCGTGATGCCATTCTTTGTAATACCAGTTGCCGACAAACCAATGTTGCCAATCTCGTTACCATGGTTACCTCGCTATGTTTGCAGCCATTTTGTTTCACTGCGATAATCCCCGTTAGGGCTAGTTGTGTGTACGGTGAACGGTGCGGCGAGTGCGGTGCGTCGTCCCGGGTCCTCGCCAATGAGAAGTTTTCATATGCAATGCCGGTTTGCTGCGTTCCATAGTGTCGGCAAAGTTACAAGAATGGTGCGAAGTTGTACAGATTTCCAGCCAATCCGGAAAGAAAGGCGGCATGGGTTTCGCGGATCAAGAGGCCTCTCTGGGAGCCAACGAGTACATCGCGTGTCTGCGGCGTAAGTACAAAATTATCATACAGCAGTACCGATGTTCGGTCTCGTACACTTACGCTGTCGGGTGGTCGAACGAAACGTCCAGGGCAGTCACGTCCGTGACTACTCTGGGACAGCTTTGCTCGCGGACAGGTGTGCTTGCGCGCGAGGTTCCGAGCGCTCGCGCATCATGAGCACTCTGCTTTCAAAACTGCATCGTCGCTCTTCGCTGCTTCTGAACAGGGACACAATCCGCCCCTGAGCATATCTGCGTGACTTTCTGCTTCAAATCATAAAAAATAGGATGGTGTACGAGTGCGTGCCGGCTGACACAGCTGCGTCGAAGCCCGCAGGTTTAGCAGCGATAGAGCACAGCAGAGTTAGCCTGCCGCCTTACATCTGGAAAAACCTTAACCTATCTCATGTAAGGAGCCTTCATGTATTTATAAATACAGGTACTATTTGAAGCTGGGATCATGTTTCACTCAGTGTGTCATATACATGAAACAGCAGAAACTGTTTCACAATGTGTTGTGTCTGAAAATCCGGTAAATTTTTTTCAGGTACACTTCGAACTATCCTGTTTTGAGGAGAAACGTGCAGATGGGTGGCGGCGCCTCAAATTGACTGCCATACCAACATTGTTTTCCTCTCAAGGTGAGCAAAGCCTGGTGGAACTAGGAGATGCACTAGGACGCGGGGAGGAAAGATACATTTTTTTTTATTATAATGTTAAATATTCTCATTAAATAAATTAATTCAATTAGTGTGATGTGCCATGCTCCCCGATGCATGCAGTAACGTCTAACATTTGCTAGGAAAAAAAGAAGACAAGCACGCAGATTAGTTTGAAATATTTCTGTAACTTTATTCTATTCAAATGTGCCAATTAGCAAGTTCAGAGCCTACCAGGCTGTCCAGACTCTCCATGTCCACCCCCAAATGCCCATTATGGTGACTGCACAAAAAGAAAAAAATCTGATCGTTCCTTCAGTGTGGCACATTAAGCAAAAATTGCACGGTAATTTGTTTTTCATGATGGCTAAACTTAATTATTGTGTTCTTTAATTTCTTCCAGCGTCTCCGAAGTACAAGCCAGCAGAGCAAAGCCCCGAAAAAGTAGTGCCGCACCAATCTGAAGAGGCAGCTTGCATCAGTGCATCACTTGGAGCTACAGCCTGCGATCCTCCTATTCATGCCTCATCTGAAGAGGCAGTGGCAGCATCATCCAGTACGCCTGAGCCAACAGAAGAGAAACAATGCAGCTCGGCCGCAAGCACCTCGAGCCATGAATTAAGTACAAGCTCCACAAGCACGACCAACAACACAGCTTGTGTCAACGCATCACCTGGGACCGCAGCTGGGGATCCTCCCATTCATGCCTTAGCTGAATCAACTATCCATGACGAAATCTGCAGTGATGCTACAACTGGATGGAGCGGCCCCACACTTCAATCTGTTTTATCGACTGCCGCTTCATTGACACCTCAGCAAGATGACTTCATCTCTGACAACGATTCCATGGATATCGTCACGGAAGATCCTACAAACATTATGTCACTACCTGAAAATGAGCCACCACCCAAAAGTGTGACAGAAGGAACAGAGAACGTTTGTTGTCTGGAGTTAAAGAAAGCTCTACGCGACGTCCTAAAAAAGTACAGTTCTCTTCAAGAACATCATGTGAATGCAAGGAAGCAGATCCGAACCCTCAAGAGTCAACTAAAATGTGTACAACAACAGCTTCAGGCACTTAAGGAACCGAAGTTCCTGGCCGACGATCAAAAGAAGGTCCTTGCAAAACAAAACAGCCGGGGTATGACATGGTCAATGGCAACAATCAAGCAAGCTCTTCAAGTCAAGTTTGCATGCGGCACCACGGGGTATGAGCTCCTTCGGACACTCCGCTACCCTCTGCCCAGCACCCGGACATTAATGCGAAGACTACAAGGCTTTTGCTTCTTACCAGGAATTCTAAAAGAAGTCCTCGATGTCCTGAAAAAAAAAGTAGAGACCATGGAAGATGCAGAACGGGACTGCGTTCTCTTTCTAGACGAGATGGAAATTTCAGGGGGCATAGAACATGATCAGTCGCAGGATTGCTTTCTCGGGTCTGTGACTCTTCCGAAGATGGAGGAAGTCGAAGCTAACCGTGCTTTGGTTTTCATGTTGGGGGGCCTGACGACCCGGTGGAAACAGGTAGTAGCGTACCACTTCACGGGGCGGTCGCTTGAAGGCACCCTCCTGAAAGACTGTCCTCCAGATTGTGAAGTTGTCCTTCGAAGCGGGACTAAAAGTACTCGTGGTCACCAGCGACATGGGTGCACCAAACAGAGCAATGTGGCGCGAACTTGGCCTTTCAAGTACCAGGGACTCTGACACAGTGTGCAGCATATCACACCCATGCCTTGAGGGGCGCCGTCTGTATTTCATGGCCGATGTCGCCCATCTGCTCAAGAACATTCGAGCCCAACTGATTCGCTCGGACATCTTCTTCCTGAGCAAGCGGATTGTTGAAGAAAACGGACTCCCCACAAACATCATCAAGCTCGAGTATATCGACGCAACACTGAAGCTAGATAAAGAAAATGAACTAAAGGTGGCTCCTCACATGTCAGACATTCACCTCAGTGACGGTCACTTTACAAAAATGAAGGTGAACATCGCCGTCCAGTTTTTTCGCGAAGCTCCAGTGGCCATCCGCTACAGAGTGAGCCAGGGCCAGTTGCCAGCTCAGGCAGAAACCACTGCTTGGTTTTGTGAGCTTGTCTCTGAATGGTTCACTTTGATGTCGGCGAGGCATCCAGTTGTGGCGTTGAGTAATTTCGATGCCACAAAACACCAAGCCGCCATCGAAAAGCTAAACATCACAGCCTGCACCTTCCGAGAGATGACCATGGGCTCGACATCACACTGGAAGCCTTCACAAGCAGGACTTATAACATCAACCACAGTTGTCTACCAACTTCAACATGAACTCCTGAATGAGCATGGGTATGGCTATCTACTGACTGGACGAATGACGCAGGACTGTCTCGAAAACCTATTCTCGGTTGTCCGTCTTCGAAAACCAGTGCCTGGAGCCTGTGAGTTCAAGTGTGCTCTCCGCATGATCTGCGTTAGCCAGTTTGTCCAGACTCCCAGGACATCTGGCTATGCTGTTGATGATGGGGAACAGCTTGCCGACTTGTTTTCAGAGGGTGCGAGGGTTCCTTCAGAAGAGCCTGAAGCTCCAGAGGAGATCATGGATTGGGTGCTGTCAATGCTATCCAAAGAGGAGAAAGACATTCTAGCGTATGTAGGTGGATTCCTCCTGCGTGCAGTGCTTAAGTCTGTGAACTGCAACACCTGCAAAGAAGCCCTGACATCAAACTCGAACAGTAAACACAGCACCCTGATCAAAATGAAGGAATTTGTAAAGCACAGTGAGAACTTAATCTACCCCAGTGATAAAGCCATGGAGTTTTTGATCGAATGTGAAGAACAATTCAAGGGCCTTACATTCACAACCGACATTTTGAGTCTGTGTTCTCCATTTAAAAGTATCGCGTCTGTGCTTACAAGAAACAGCTCGGTGAACACTGGAGTATGCTCACAGCACAGAGACAGTGTGGAGAAACTGCTTCTGGAGAAGTATCTGCATTTCCGGCTGAAGATTCATCTCAAACAGGCCCGTCTAGAAAAACGTGCAAGTGGCCATTCAAGCAAGACATGTGCTGGTGTAAACCTATCATAGGGTTTGTGTGCTGAGCAGTGTGCTAGCGTAGCGATTGTAGAGGCATGCAGCTCATCTATTCAATGCTTTTCAAATCTATCTTTGCGTATAGTTTTTTTCTGTCGTGTGTTTCAAAGTCCCGCTTGCCTCCAAATATGTAGAGACAAAATAAATAAGGACACATTCTTTTTGCTTTTGGAATTGTTACATTGACTGAATGTGTATTCACTCTAAGGCAAATCATAAAAGGTATGCTAAAATAATTGGAACTTTTTTTTCATTAATAAATATACCTCTGGCACCATTGTGATAATGTTTCTACACCTGCTGGAGCCACTTTTTGGAAGGCCGTCCCACAAATGCTCAGATAGCTGCTTCCAGCTCATCAGTAACCTAAATATGGCAGCCCCTAAAGGTTTTTTTTTATTGATGACAGACGCCTTTGCCGCGTCGAAGTTCTTTGGGGGCATAGCAGGATTATTACGGGGCTCCAACTCGCCCTTTTTCCGCCCCCCTCCCCCTCCCCCCAATATAGCCCATTTTCTGTGCATGTACAAGCACAGCAACCACTTCTTGCCCCCGAGTCCACTGCTTTGTTAGCTGGATAGGCGCTCGAGGATACCAAGTGTCTAGATACACTGCCGCCCAGGCACGTAGCCAGGATTTTGTTTCGGGGGGGGAGGGGAGGTGGTCCCACCCATGACAAAATGGTGTATGAGGGTATGAGGGGGAGAGGAGGTCCCAGCGAAATGGAAGATTTTGGAGGGGGGCCCAAGCCCCATGGCCCCCCGGCTACGTGCCTGCTGCCGCCTTGCCAGTAGTGGATGAGGAGACGCAATGACGATCCGGAATATAAGTATTCAGTGAAACTGTAAAGGCCCAGTGGCCTAAGTAGAAAGCTTTTTGAGGTGTATGCATTGGTTGATTTCTCCAACCTTGCTGCTCAAGCCTCGACAGTTCCACTGTCGAACCCCTAGGATGGGCGCAGGAGCTGAAGGAGCCATGGGCGAAGGCTAGCTTCGATAGATGCATCTGTAGAAAACGCATCTATACTCGCGGTCACTTTTCTGTGGCAATGCAGTCAATGCTAGGGGAGAGGGTGCACCAACCGCTGTACACGCACATTCCTCCTCTTTGGATTGCCACAGAGAGCTGACCGCAAGTGTAGGCTGACGGTGAGCCATGCCAGCAATTCAACCGCGACTTGCAGTTTAAATTCAAGTCGTGCGAGATTTTGACGCTGGTGAGGTCAATGATTCGAGGCCAAATCATACATGGAACTGCAAGCAAGACGTTGCACCAGAGACTTCTTTGGGAACCCGATCTAAAGCTAGAAAAAGCTGTGGAAATGTGAAAAAAGGACGAAATTGCTGCCAAGCAAATGAAGGTATGGGAGGGGCCAAAGAAAACTGTCCATGTCGTTAAGAGTAGAGCGTTGGAGGAGCAAGTTCCTATTCACAAACAAGGCAAAGGAAAAGAATGGTGCACGAAGTGCGACTTCTTTCACCGGGGCCCCATGTGTCCAGCTTTGGGCAAAGTTTGTAGACCATTTTGAGGCTTATTGCAAGACGGACCGAGTGCGTGAAGTAAAGAACATTGTGGAAAAAAGAAGCGAAGGTAGCCCAGATTTTGACATTCTTGAAATCAGCGGGAGCAATGCAGGACGTGGTTCTGAGTGGCTCGCACCGGCAACTGTGGATGGCAAGGAGATCTCACGATCTCACTTAAAGTGGACACCAGAGCACAACCAAACTTGCTCCCACTTGTGGCTGCACTGCGTCAAAAAGAACACTGTTTTGAAAAAGAGTGCTGCAGTCCTGGGAAGTTGCAACGGTAGTGTGATTTCACACAAAAGGAAAACCACCTTGATGGTGTTATGCAAGCAAGGCATTGTAGAATTTTTTGTAGTGAAGAAATCTCGTGCTTCGATTCTGGGACCCCAAACCTGCGCGAACAGTTAGGTTTGGTAAATCGAATATCGGCTGTCAGTGACGACACCAATTCATTGTTTCAAACTTTCCGGAGAATGGCTTAAGCTTCATCAAGAAAACCTACCCACATGGTGCTTAAGGAAAGAGCTCGGCCATAAAGTATGATATTAAATATCATCAAATGAGAGAATAATTCTATTGAAAAGAACTTTCGGTGACATGGTTTCATGAACAAGAAGAGATGAGGAGAGGTGCAGTAGGCTAGCACCAGGGTTCTTCCCGCAGTGGGAGGCAACAGTTCTGCCGTCCACTAGTTAGCTGGCCGCCTACGTTTGTGATGTCCAAGCCACCTCTATATTTTGCTGCGGGTGGACTAGACGGCGTTGATTTTACAAAAGTTTGATGCTTTCAAGCCTCATTTGACAGGAAAGCGTCAAACAAGACTGAAGCCGAGTGCGACATATACTCAACACACGAAGAATTCACAGGGAGCAAATCTAGTCGAACAGCCACGGATCGTCGGTCAGTCGAGCCTGTAGCCCACAACTCCAGACGCACAACTGGAGATGTTGGGCTAAGTGTTGTAGAAATAGAGTTAACTAGGGTGCAAGCACGCATGTTGGACGACGATCGGCAGTTGATCACACGAGCCTGAAGCCGATCATTAAAGACGCACGTCAAAACACACGTTGGGGCACGCTCGAAGCGCACACAGATTGCACACAGGAAGACTCGTCCAGCGTAGTCGGAAGACTACGGTTGCCGGTCAAACAAGGCTAAAGCCGACTGCGGAAAATGCACACTGAGACACGTACTAGCACACAGCAGCGCACACGAAACACACGAAGAACTCACACGAGCGACTCCAGCCAACAGCGACGGATCGCCGGTCGGTCGAGCCTGTAGCCGACGACTCCAGACACAGACACACAAGCGGAGACGTTGGGCTACGTGTTGTAGAAATAAGGTAAACAAGGGTGCAAGCACGCATGTTGGACGATGATCGGTCGTTGATCAGACGAGCCTGAAGCCGACCATTAAAGACGCACGTCAACACACGTTGGGGCACGCTCGAAGTGCACGCAGATTGCACACAGGAAGACTCGTCCAGCGTAGTCGGAAGACTACGGTTGCCGGTTAAACGAGGCTGAAGCCGACTGCGCAAAATGCACACTGAGACACGTACTAGCACACAGCAGCGCACACGAAACACACGAAGAACTCACACGAGCGACTCCAGCCAACAGCGACGGATCGGCGCCGGTCGGTCGAGTCTGTAGCCGACGACTCCAGACGCACAAGCGGAAACGTTGAGCTACGTGTGAGAAATAAAGCAAACTAGAGTGCAAGCGCACATGATGGCTCCCTAAAGTAAACAAGAACGCACAAAATTTGCAACATTCGCGTCCGGGCTCCGGCACAGAGAAGGCTGTTCGTAACAACGATCGAGTTTAGACGCCCGAGATGGAGAGGTTGAGTATCCAATAGCACTCGCATTTCGTTGAAAGCGGTCCACACTCAGCTCGCAGCATCAGATTGTGAGGCAGCTGAACCAACGAAGCGTGAAAGACCGCGAGAGGCTCAACCTCGACCGCGCACGACGACAAACGCGGATCACCGCCCTTCGCGGCGGCAACGGCGGCGGCAGCGGCGGCGGCGCGGCGCCGGAGCTAGGTGCTACGGAAACGGAAGCGGCCTCACAGTGTTGCTGGTGTTTCGCGGGGAATAAAAATCAAGGTTGCGTACGTTTAGCGAAAATATGGAGAAACAAAATGGCGATGGGAGAGAGGGAACCGGCAGTTGGCATCACCCTAAGCGCAGCACACATGTAGGCTCCCTACGTCTAGCAACCTTGGCAGCTATTGACGGTGAGTGTCTCGCTTCCGGCCACGACGAGAGAAAAGAAGGAGGAACTCCCGTCTTCCCGAGAATCCCTTTTGTGTGTTCCAGAAGTAGCTATTGTCCCCCTACAAGATTATAAAAGATTAACCCGTCACTCAAAATTCGTACAAAAGCAGCCGCTTCGCTGACTGGAACGACTAGGCCATCCCGTTCGACGTCAACCTCGCCGTAGCTTTGCTCGTCCTGAGACGACCTACGTCACGATTGCGTTGGATGTCACGTGGTCTCCACTGGGCCTTCTCCGAGCGCTTGCCGGAGTGGGCCGTTTATAACGAAAAATACAGCCACCAGGCTCAAGATACAAATGTGCGATTGTCATTTACGGATATTGTGGATCATATTCAACCTATTTTTGAACGCGGATATATTTCAAATTTCGTTGAAGTATCCCTTTAAAACAGATACGTGCGTCGCACGTGCCTTGATTTTGAGAAAAAACGTCAACAAAAAACGAGTAACATGACGAATGATCCAGGACTCATCAGCATAAAATCGGGAACAAAATTCTAAACTTGGTAACGTATTGTTTTTTAGTCTGTTTTTGACGTTTTAGAAACACCTAGACGTGCACACCAATATCGCGGCGCTGCGAATTTTTCTAAACCAACTATTGTTTTGTCTTTTTTTTTGTTCTTAGATGTTACTGTGTATCACAGTGCCCACAACCGGATTTTCCTTATAGAATAATCTGGGGAACCATACTATGTATCTGCTTGCGACAGTCGTCACCTTGACCGCGGTCTTAATCGTCCTTCCGATCATGTAAACAAATCTTTATTCCATCGTAGGCAAAGCCACGATACGATTCTTAAATAAGATAGCATACCACTGAAACACTGCTAGTGTTTCACTGAAACACGTTTAACCACTGGTGCGGAGATGCTCTCTGATAATAAGTCTAAATCTAAAAAAGCGTCTCAGTTGAACTTTTCTCTTTGGGAAGAGGAGGGGGGGTGCGGTTTCCATAATAATGATATGCGTTCCTTACAGTTTTGTGACATAAGCTGATTTAGTGGTTTTCGATGATGACTCCAATTAGGTGTGTTGTTCAAAAACAGATTTCAAATAACGAATAACGAATCAATTGCACAACAGTAATTGACTCCAATATTACCCTACGCTATTTATTTGTAGTATTCGAGCGATTAGCTCCCTCAAGTGCTTTGGGCAAGGTTGGCGCTCCGACTTTCTTACAGTGTATATACACTGTTAGCAAGTCCCGTTTATTTGGTGAATATTTGGGGTGAAAAACACGCTATTTACACAAATAACCATAAATTTACACGTTGAGTAACGGATAATTCGTTCAAAAATCATGGAAGGTTGTAAGAAACGTGTTTTGGTTCGGTCACACACGCATAACCGTGTAGCCGACCTCGAAAACACGCATCACCTTCGGCGACGACCGTAGCATTGCCGGCTACCGAAGTTCCGGAATGCTTGGGGACACACCTAGAAAGGACCCTGGAGGCAAATACCGCGGAAAGAAACTTGTCTCGGAGACAGATACGCACCAGAAGCAATTACGCCCTGTCGCGGGACGGGGCGAAGCCCGCGCTTAGCGTGCTCGCTGCTATTTTCTGGTCGACGGCAATGCCGCTTCCCTCTCGCCTATGTTTGTATGTATTTTAGGGGTCTTGAATATAGTTTTTTACACACCGCAAATAAAGTTATGGGTCTAATTACTCGTTCTAAACAGTTAAAATGGATAGAAAAAGCGTGCCCTCGATCTGAACACGTGACATTGCAGTTGGTTTCGTTTTGGCTTCAACCTTCAACTGCAATCGAAACGGCCGTGTAACACCAGGAGGGGGGGTAGGTGCCGCCGCTTCCCATGCACCCTCCTCAGAATTTACGGCACTCTGTGGTGGCCACCATATTAAAACTTTATACGAGTTTCAGGTGCCCGGTTACTGCCATAGACCCAATGGAGTCGATTTCTGGGTAAACTGGGCGCTCAGCAGCGCTTCTGTGGTCGGAGGTGCTCATTACTGCAACGAATGAGGGCTCGTTGCTCTATCGATATACTGCGAAGCTAACATAGGAAACAATAATCAAGTTCATAAAATGGAGCGCTAACGTTTTAATTATTACTTTCAACGCCGTCGAGCTAGCTTGAGCGGCTTCTTAGCCGCTTGCGAAGGCGAAGCCGCTCAAAATTCAACATGGCGCAGAACTTCCGCCGTGGTAGCCGTGCCTGCCGCTGCTTCCTACCGCGGTACCGCCGGTACCACAGTAGGTTTTGTGTGGAAATTTACGGTTCGCGCGTGCCATGCCACTTGGTATGGCAAAGAATTGTAAGTTCTGCTTGCCCACCTTGTGTCCAGCAGTTGACAGTCCATTACTTGTCGTTGGCGTCTTCCAGGGAATCGAAACAGATGCCGCATATTTTACTGGTTGACGGATTTATTCAGTCATTTGCATGACAGGAAAAAACAATTTACACTGTCACTTTAAACAAGCGTTCCTATGTGGAAAAAAAATTAATAATGCGCGCAATCTATGTTAGCAAGAGGTACTACAGCGAAGATACAATGTGCGACACTGTTAGCGCGAACACGATATGGTGCCCACCTTTTAAAGGCGGGCACCAATTGCTGTAATACTTAAGTATTACTGCTATAGTTCGCAAAGTAACTGTTTAAAGTTTCGTAAACCTCAGATGCAACTATGGCGCGAGAATATCAGTCTTCGCGATTGAAAAACAATACAGTCATGTCTCGCTAACATATTCGATCGTTTCGGTCACGCCGCTATTTACTTCATATTTTTGTTACTGATATGTGTCTCCATACAATTCTAACTCGTCACGCTAAATAAAGAAACCCGAAGTACGTACTATGGACAGCTAGCTTGGGAGCGAAATGGATAAATACATGCTTTTTATCTTTTTATTGTGGTCTCTGTAAAGACAAACGCCAAAAAGGGAGGGAGAATGTATCAGTGAGACGAAAAAGAATAATAAAGTTTTTCGGTTACAAAATTTACTCAGAGCTTCACCATTTTCATATATGACAATGGTGACTCAATGGTTACAATTTTCAGGGGCTTCCAGCCTAAATCGCTTGCAGTTCTTTCCCTATTCCAGTTGCAGATGACAAAAATAAACAACATACCACTTTCATTGTTTATTCTTTGTGATCTTGATATTGATTCATGATTATGGATGACTAACATTATGGAGAATTGTTTTGTAAATTGGAGATGCCCATATTAACGAAAAATACTGTAACAGCAAACATAAATGTCTGTTTCTGTGGCATGAAAACACAATAATCATATGTTCTGATATGTGTTAGATAGAAGCAACCCCAGTATGAAGTAAATATGCAGCCCCGCCGGAGAATTGTATGCAAACAGACCATTGGGGAGGTATGTCTAAGAAGATATTTAAATGCTTATTGGTTGTGAAATCTCAAATACCAACCTGAACATATATTATGATAAAACATCAATTGTTCAACCTGTGTAATAAGACAATAACGAAAAATTTTAGTGGGTCAGATATTGTTCAGCAAAACTTAATATTTGAAAGAGTGAAACTCTCCAAGCACGCAGTTTGAATTCTAGCTGCCAAAGGTCCTGACATTACTGGTTCGAAGCAAGAGATCTTCCCCTCTCTTCCCCTCCCACTCCCCCAAAAAATTGCCTAGAGGTTGTTGGCCGCCAGCAGGCTAACAACATGCCTAAACAAAGTGGATGCTCATGGCTTCTGTTAGTCTATGATTTTTTCCATAAAAATCATGCAAGGAGCAACCTGCTGACGCAGTGGACAACATTGTCTCGCGAGGGTCTCAAGGAGCACAGCCAAAAAATTTCATGCCTAGTTGAAAGCTCGTGTCATTCTGACTGGTCTACACAAATAAAAAAGTTAACAGAATGCAATGTAATTCGAGCAAACGTATTCGTTGCTTACTCAAACCTGAACCAAAAATCATTAGAGACATATTTCTTAACAATGTGTAGACCTAGCTCTTTGTAGACCACTTTGGTATATCTCATTTCTCTTGACCTCTTGATGAGCTTCCGATTCCTGTCGCTTGTGCCGTCAAGTTGAACCAGGTTTTCTCGGTGTGGCCACCGAGATCCTATCATGCCCATGCGATGGACCAGCCACTTCATTGTTCTTCCTCATTTTTGCTGTATGTGTGTTCTCTATCCCCTCAACATCTGCACAGGACAATGTAAGAACAAATTAGTTCGACTCGTCACAATATATATATTTGCAGTAGAGAAACAGGGCTATGAAACATTGCATGGATTGCTCATACTATCCTTTTGTTTCTGTTATAATGCTTTTTGACCCAGCCACTCTCGTTTTACATTACAGTTGACCGTAGATTAGACTGCATAAATCACTATGGCGGAACCTAGCATGCTGATGGTTACATATTCAGCTTGATAGGTTGGCCAGCAATGAAGTGCACTTCACAAAAAGGTTACCACGGACACTACCTTTTGTTTATTGGGGTTTCCTGTCCCTGAGACTTGTTGGAGTAATTTTCATGCCTTGAAAATCTGTATGGATACAGAAAAAAAAAACGCATAATGCAAATGATGCTATTTTATGTGCAACAAACGAGAAAAAAAATGCCTAACGTGAGTTTTAACTGTTTTGAGGGGAGTGCGTCGGTAGGTGTAAAATCTTCCAATAGAATTACACATGGAAAGACAATTGGCACATCTCGCGATCAAGCTCTGCTGTCTGCATTCCGCCCTTTTATGCGTAAATCTTTCGAGATTTTAAAAGTGTCTTTAGAAATAAAATTATTTTACTATCCAGCTTTCTATTTATTTCCGAAAAAAATAAAACGTGGCAAACTAGTTGCAGGGCTGTAAAATAATGTACACGAGAGATATTAATAAAAACGGGCAGATATTATAAGATATGAACTCCGAAATATTATAAAACTGAGAGAAGAATATTTGTATAAAGACTACAATTTACTCGACAGGGATCGACACTACTGTGCACGAAATTGGCGAGAAGTAGAGGAGGTGAAAATTCGCAGACTGTCTACAGATCATAAAATATTTGCAGGACGGTCTTCATCCACAAAACCGTGCTAAGAACGCTCGCTGAAATGGGGCGCCTCGCAATACAATCACGGCGACATTTTGTAAATTTCAAGAATGAAACGATGTATTCAATTACCTAAAATAGTACAAAACCCTCGAATGGTGCAATTCGAGGCTGGAAGATCAGCTTAGGAAAAGTTTCATTTGGGGTGAAAACTTTCAAACTCACCGTCGTCAGTTGGGATCCGAACGAACGGGTGCTTCTTGTCCCCGACGCTGCTTGGGCACGACTTTGCGTAACTGCACGAGTGAGGTAGTTCAAAGACACGAAAAGCTTTCCACTCGCCCGAAAGTGCGAGGCTCGCGCAGTGCGATGATCGAGGCGCCGACGCTTGACGCACCGATGGCAAGCGAAAGCGCGAAAGCACCGGACAGACCAACGGCCGCCCCCACAACGGTCCACCGGTTTCAGAACGCGCAGTGCGCAAAGGCGCGCGTGTGCACAGGCAGCGGTTTTCTTTTACAAACGCAAAAAACAAAAAAGGCAGAGTTTCGAAAGTGTGATATTGACACAAACTTTAAAAAAAGGTATATGTCATATTTTTAGGAATACGTATTTTGTATTTAGTGAAATAATACGCAGTCATAACAAAAGCTAAATGAAGTTTGATTTATTATTGTTTTGTTTAGTTTTAGTAATGTGCGCCTCCGACCACGCGAGCGCTGCTGTACACCTCTTCCAGCGTTCATCGGCGCCATCTGTATTCCGGCCGCAACATTCGCTCTCTGTCCGGATGTTGCCAGTGTTGCTGCATCTGTAGGTCATCTTGAAGTTAGAGCTGACAAAGAAAATCTGGCCACGGCGCAACGCCGATGTACACTGGAAGCTAGAGCCGGTTTGCTTTCGTTGTTTTTGTTTGACCGGAGAAAATCTGGCAAGAAAGCATGGCGCCGCTATTATTTTGGTTTGAGGGGACGCGAGAAGCTTCGCAGTTTGCGAGCACATAGCGAAGACGTGACTGGAGAAGTGCCCCTGTGATGTTTCCGGAATAGGGAAAGTATTATTTGCTGTCGTAGTGTGTGCTTTGAAAGCGAAGGGAGTCACAGGGTCCACGATTGCGCAACCACAAGCCAAGGTTCACGATAGCGCAGCGTTGATTTCGGCTATCTCGTTCTGTTTGGGGCAACACGGCGATGCGACAAAGAGCCGAAACGTTCGTGGTGTGTGGTGCGGTGCTTGGAGGTAGAAACCCGCACTAACACGGAGCTCAAATTGCTTATTATGGGGTTGAGGCTCAACGGGTACAGTCCCGTCGTCGTCAGCTGATCCGGTCCAGCTGGTCCGGGAAGACGCAGCGAGCGTTCTTAAAAGTAAATTTTCCTTCGTTTCGTTTCAAAATGTAAAAGATTCCCGACGCATACCGCGAGTAAAAGGCTGCGGGCGTTTTCAACAAGATTACGTCGTTTTAATTGAACAATGAACTTCGGATTGTTGTCTTAAATCTGCCGTTTTTATCCTTCGTGTTGTTGGACTGTGTTTGCACAGCGACGTGTTTGCACAGCGACGCACACCGCTCGAGTAGATGATTCGGTCCTGGAAACGACCGGTTATACAGAATTTCAAAGAAACTTGAGTCACCACCGATATTTTCCTGGAAATCTCGTGTGAGTTTGTTGCGCTCATCATGCTGTGTGATTAAATTAGCGCAAGATTTTCTACCTGCCCACAGATGCATGAACGGAGACCATTTTTTTACGTAGTGAACATAGTGCTTTTTCTTTATTTTGGGAAGAGGTGTTGGTGCGTTTATTATGGTATAATCACTTGAGAGTTGAGAAATAAGGGAGAACGAGCAAGCTTTCCCAACTTTATCTCTTTTCTCGCTGGCACCGCCCCTAGTTTCAAGTTTCAGTTTTGGTAGGCATACGCACTAGCAGGTAAAAACTTCTCTAAAGCAGGTAAAAAAAAACAGGGGAAGTCAGGACGGTGCGGACTCCGTGTTTCGCGCTTTTCGCAAGGTGACTGGGTAAATGCTTTTGTGAGATATGCGGAATATGCAAACGATTTTGTTATGCCCGTCGTTTTCGTCTCCAGCAAAACGAATAAGATGATCAACAAAGCAAAATCGCAAGCCAAGATTTACGATAACAGTGCGTTCAGTTCGGTGATCCGTGTGGTGGCCGCTGTTTAAACGCTTGTAGTATCCACGAGTGGTACCAGGAAAACGACGCTAACAGAGAAGGAGCTCGCGATTCAGCATAATGCCACATTAGTGGTCACGAATAACACCGGTCACAAACTCCCAAGCCCCACCGCTCTTCTCGACACCGACACGACATACGACAACAAACTGCATCAAAACGCCCCAAAAGTGAAGGCGTCTGCTCCTGTACGCGTACTGCAACTAGCAGAAGTGAAGTGTTGGGCAGATGTCCTTCAAAAGAATATATAAACAAAATGCTTTGCACAATGACAATTTTCATTGATTATTGAATACGTAATGGTAAAATCCCAATAGTTTGTTTTTCTATCTGATTCAAGCTAGTCCGACTGCTCCTAACACTGGTCGAGCATGAAAATATTAAAAATTTGAACTTTTTCATGGCCAGTTTAATATTTATTGTGAATACAATGTTGTTTTCCGCAACGGACAAAAATTATAGATTTTGCTTTCATACTTTCTGAATGCAAACAGTTCTTACATACGGCTGTTTATTGTGTCATGTTTCGTGTCTTCTTATATAAATCTGTAACGGTCAGCGACTAAAGAGCTCACCCACACAAGTCAAGCTTATATACGCCGCGGGGAGAAGAGGATGTTAATAGGAGGTGTGGGTGCTGTGTAACACGTGCGGTACTCGTGTTATCTGCGATATATGTAGTGTTACTTGTGATCGTTCACAGCGTATTAACAGACTCCTGCTTTTTTTTTCACTGGCCGCTAAAAACCTCACTTGGTGGCGCGATTTACCGCCCGATTCCAAATAGTTTGCTCCAGTTATTTATCCATGTAAGTTCGGTATTCGTTTTTTTATGTAGCGGTTCCGTCGTAGCTACCGACGCCACCGACCGCCGACGACGCACGTACGTACGTACCTTTGCACGTAGCTACGTCCATCGCTTGGAGACGCGTCCTGTGTGCTTTCAGTTCGGCTGAAAGGCGCGCGGCTCGCTGGGCTCGTCTGTCGCCTGTTCTCGGCTGCTGGCCGCCATGTTTTATGAGCACGCTGAGCCAACACCTCAACCGTGTTTCGCGGAAGGCAGGACACTGTGTAGTGTGTTGAGTTTAGACGGCACCTCGTGCGTAGGCGAATAACACGCATTGCTGCGTGTAAAACGCGCACGTTTTGACGTATCCGCTATGGGACAACGGTTTACACGTCTGGGCGTGTTATGTTTGCTAACTGTGTACTATCTTCATAATGTATATTATGTGAAGCACGCATATGCCGTCTTGATTTTAAAAAAAAGTCGAACCCATTCTCTTTTGTAGGAGGAGGAAGAAAACCTTTGATTACTTCAAGGACCTCGGAATACTTGGACCTGAGCCGAGTATTATTTGGGGAAACCTTGCAGAGTACCACAGAAATGTAAGTTACGTTCTTTTGTATACGTTATTCCAAATGCCGGTACCCTATAAACAAAACGTACGTTAGTTAATTTTGCTGCAAAACATGGAGGCAGCCGATCATGGCGAACAATGGAGGATTCCCACGAATTTTGAAACTTGGAATACGGTTAGACAGAAAACGATGCGATGTTCAGCAGAAGAATGGCCTTTCTCTCTCGCCTTGTTTCTGCGCACGTAGCATTTGGTAAAATCTAAACGTATTCTGATTTCCGTTCCTCGCTGGTATACTTTTGCTGTCCAACTTTGTCAGCTGTCTTTAGGGGCTGAAGGAAAGTAGACTCAAAGTCTCCCTTTAGAGTGTCGGATTTGTTAAACTCCTTTCGCTGCCGTAAAAAGAATAAGAAACCCGTAAAAAAAGTTAATCTAATACTGTTTCCGACCACTTTGAGTGCCAGGCCCGAGTATACTCGGGCGCGTTCTCTTGTGGATTCTGTTTTGGTTGTCTCCCTATCCCTCCCTACTGAACTGTCACATTTGTTTTCTACGTGTAAGCGTACAAGTATAAGCAAGCGATAAAAACAATGGGTTACCTTCGGGCGTCATTTTTTGATGGCGTGCTTTGGCCGACTTCTATTCCCGTATTCTTTCATTGTTCATTGCCTTCATTGTTACAGAATGGCGAATTTGTACAGTTCCAGCTCGCTCCATATGGCGGACACTGATATCTTGAAATTACAAATAAACTCGGCATTCCATGACTGTGAAAACTAGGAAGTTACCGTTTCGTATAAACAAAGGCCCAGTAAGGTCGCTCAAAAGAGTGACCGCGAGGTGCGAGTTCGAAATTCCACTGCTTATAGTACCGTGTTTCGAAAAGCAGAATACGAGAAATATGGCCTAGGTTGGAGGCACACAGACCTTAATTTACTTTTTTCCCACACAATAGTCTGTCTTCAATAAATAAATATTTTTTCACAGATCATGCTACAGCCTTACTGAGATCAAAATTTTCGTTCTGCACGTGTTAAGCTGTGCGCTAGAGTAGAGCTAGGGCACAGGTTAACTGGCCTAGGCTGTACCCTAGCTCTAGGCTAGGGTACAGCCTAGGCCTAGGGCCTAGGCTAGCCTAGGGCACAAACGAAATGTTAAGCTGTACCCTAGCGTAGAGCCGCTCTTAGAATGTTTAACCTATTCGTCGTATCCAATAAACTACAGGATCTGTCGAGATAATCGAAACGCGTTTTATTGCCAATCTCTGGTGTGAACGGCGCATAGTCTAATGCTGATGATACACTTGTATCTAGAACAATCCGCTTGAATAACACGCCACTATTTCAGAACATAATGTCATCCGCGCCACAGCGTTAAATCAATACTGGAAAATGTCCTATGCGAAGTCGGCGACTCGCGAATCCCGGAAATGCACAATAGAAATAGTGGTGGCTGTCAAAAACAAAACTACTTTTTTCAGTGCAAATTATTTATAACAGTTTAATCAGATGACATTAAGCTCTGGACCACTGCTATCTTGACCATAGCTTCTCTTTCCTTTTGGAGTCTGACCGATTCGCGTTGCAAATATGTTTTATGGAGTCTTCGATTTCTCTGTAGTGTTTCGTATTTGCAACCAAGCAAATAATACCTTAATGTATTGTGCCATTCCCTGATATAAGTTCGGAATGCTTTTGTTTCGAGGCTTTGCCTTACGAATCCGTATTTCTTTTCTGCATTAATAAATGAGTTTAATGTTACTCATCCGACTGTGTTCTTTGGGTAGGGCCGCCACTATGCTCTGCAACAGTGGTGTGACAGATACGGTGATATATTTGGGTAAGTGCAAACATTTCGAAGCAATAACGTGTTATTTATTACTTTAAAATACAAAGCAAGTGCCATGTTTTAATTTTTATACTTTAATGGTTTTGCACTTATAATTATGATATAGACTGTATAAATATAAGTTTTATTTGTAGTGACTCACAGGGTGGATTGTATACATTCATTCATAGATATTTTGGAACCACTGAACGTTGATATCACTACAGGTTTTACAACGGTGATGTTCCCATTCTCGTGATCAAGGACATTGATTTTTTGGATTACGTTTTTGTGACAAACTTCAAAAACTTCGTGGACCGCGGGGTAAGTTGTTTTAGCAATGTTAAGAAAATAGAATCGGTCGATATAAATGAACCAAGGTTTATGACGTTTACTCAATATTCTGACAGTCCATGAGGTCTTTGCCTTTCTGTACCAATATAGACTTAAAAAAGAGCAACTCTAAGTATTCACTAAATGGAGCGGACGAATAGCATAGCTGTCACCATGCGATGTTTTCGTCATTAGATAAATTATTATTAGAATTCTGACCGATGTAGGTGTTCGTTTTTATAATAACTTAAAAGCCTTTACAGCTATCATGAACGTGTATTATTACTACGTAATTCGTGTTCCGCACTTTGAGACGGAAAAGTGACAGTGGTTTCGAGTTTAGGTTAGGAAGTTCAATTTGTTATTTTTATTCATTACTTAATTTCGATGGATATTAACGATTCGTTTGGGAATTTGTGTTCATAAAGTGTGAAGAGAATTTTTCAGGAATATATACTACTGTTTTCCTCTAGTAATTTCACCACATTATTTTTAATTCACCGTTAACCCCCAAATTCCTTAATTCAACTTATTATTTTATCTTAATTTTTTAAATGCGATATTACACGCGTCTGTATGGATATACTTTATTTTCTCCTTTATTTTTGAACTTCTGGGGCACCGCAACGTGCTGCAAATACAGCGAATCCAAATAAGGACGAAAGTTCTTGAAACAGCAATGATTAATATGTTGACGGGGTGTATCCCAAATAAGAACAAAAATTATAATTGACTATAATGTCCTTTGGGATTTGTAATTATTGTCGACCTTTATAAATAGATGCGTCCGTTTTAATATATTAAAAAAAACGTAAGCCCCTTTAGATAATGTGTTGCTACGGAACAAAACGTCCTTTCATCATTTATTGCGGCATTTCAGGAAAGTTGTCCTTCGTATGATCCCCATTATTAGTCAGCCTCCGCATGCTTCAAAAAAAAAAAACACTTTACTTTTGCGACCGCTTGCAAGATTCCATAAACTGTCGGACACACAACAGAGAGTAAAGAAGAGCATTTTTTCAACCAAGAAATGAGTTTTAACGCTAACCCTCAATCCCAGAATATTGTGCGTCCGTCCGTGCGCTCGTGCGCTTTCCGCTATATTTAGCGGAGAAAGTGGCATCACGAAATGTCGCGCGAGCCCACGTGACCTATACGTCAACTCAGCTTTCCCGCTAAATTAAGCGGGGAAATTCATGACTTGATGGCAAAACATCAATTCAGTTGATGTTTTACACGTCTTGTAATTTAGACACCTATTCAGATTCCCCGCTAAATTTAGCGGGGGAAATGAACGTCACGTGGCCTGGCGTCGCGTGACCTTAACAACAACCATTCGAAATCCCTGCTAAATTTAGTGGGAAGATATAACGTAACGTGAGAGACCAATTCCCGCAGCAATTCCATATAATGCTTTTCATGCCTTATGCGGAACGCAAGTTTGTCTGCTTCTTTTGCAGGGGTTGTGGTGACGTCAGAACGCCGATTGGTTCTGAATGAAGGATAGTGGGTAAACCTCGAGGCAGGTCGCTTCAAGATCTACCCACTATCCTTCAATCTGAGCCAATCAGAGCTCGGTGTCTTTCTGACGTCACCGAAACTCTTGTGCAAGAGCAGACGACTTGCTCTCCTCATAGGTCTTCGAAGGTGAAAGATGCTGCCATATTTTTTTGGATGCAATAGATCAACTCTGCTCTTTGGAACATTCTGAAGACGCATACTAGAGTCACCAGCAACTTAAGAAACCGAGGGTGTGTCTCATTATGATCGCGCTTCTTGCATCGCGATTCGTCCTTGTGCGTACTTATCGGCTAGTGTTTCAACCTGATTGGCTAAGGTCCCAAAATTGGATGCTGCAGACTCGCCGCACCCTGCTTTTTTACAGTGTTAAATACTTTACATAAGAAATGTTCTATTCCAGGTTACAATGAGAACGGATCAGGTGCATTCATCACTTGGAGAGTCCTTGATTCACGCCAAGGGATTGCAAACGCGATTTCTTCGAAGCTGCACCTCGCCGGAGTTTACTTCGCACAAACTGAAACAGGTATCTGAAGCAGAAGTAGATTTCCTATGTCCAGGTTATAAGAAACGACATCGCATAAGCCACGCGGAAAAAGAAGACCTCCGCTCTGGATGGAAACGAAGAACAACTACTTGGTTCAATATCGGAAATAATATTCAGTTCTGCGGCTTTCGTAAATAGACTAAGCAATGCAGAAGTTTTTAACTCCGTCTGACTATTACGATAATTGTGGTTATTCAATTCGTATGTTTAAGAATATGACGCCACCCCGACAAAAAATTAATAGGAAAAATATAATTTTTCTGAACCGGCGTCTACATAGATCTAGTGCTGAGAAACAAAGAAATTGCGTTGTTGGCGCAAGCGGCATTTCTTTCTGTGAACCAAATTTCAGCAACGAAAACGTCCTGTTTTCTTTTTTCTTTGTGATACGAATATTTTATCAAAACATATGTAACGTTCTTCCAATGTGACGTTTTTTTTTGTGTCGACAAATATTGGACCTGGGTGGACCTCGGTTCAAAAATAAATACCGCTGTTTTTCTCTTATTTTTCATACAGGTAAAGTCTTCTAAAATTTTCGTATTTTATCAGAATCGCTAGATTTATATCCGCACGGAGTTTCAGTTGTTTATGTAAGTCGATGAGCAGGGTATATTTACGTTATCGCGTCATTATATTTACTTATATAAGACTGATATATATCAGTATATTTTCTCCCTATCACTCTTCCAGGTCCAGGTAGCAATACCAGTAACGTCATACCGGATGTGAAGACTTGCTGGCTCTCCATCTTCATTTTCAGATGATGCCTTATCTCGTTGAGCAAGGAGACATATTCATCAATGAGCTGGGTAAACTTGCCGATGAAAGAAGGGAGGAATCAATGCTCGACGCTTTCCAAGCTCTTTCCATGGACTTCATATGTCGAGCCGCTTTCGGAATAGACACCGACTTTCAGCATAACATCAAAAATCCTTTCTACGTCCAAGCTGAAGGTGTTATTCCAGGGATGATGAAAGGCCCTTTTCACGCCGTTGCACGTAAGATATTTTATTTACGCATACGCACCTTGTTCCTCCATATTACATTTTATGTGGCAGGACATAGCCAAAAAAAAAATGTTTTGTCTATTGCACAAGTGCCAAGGATAAGTAATCTCTTTTGGGTGAAACTTTTGGGTGAGTAGTCTCTGCTGGGTGGAAAGAGGGACAAAGGACAAACACAAATATCCAAACACAGCTAGGTGACTGGTCCGCAACCAAAGAAATCTGCCTGGTCCGGGTATCGAACCCGGGACCTCTCATTTTTCAGCGGAGCGCTCTACCAACTGAGCTAACTAGGGATCAGACGTCAGTAGAGCAAACATGTTTTGTCAGCTGCCACCAGTCTGTCTGACACCAACAAGGGTGAAATGCTTGCATTTTAAGGTTATGAATGCAATGCAATTAAATTTTCGTCATTAATACCGTTATTCTTATCCAGCTCTTCTGCACCTTTCAATTAAATGCATTATCCGCATAACTTTAAACCACAGGCCGTTCACACTTGCTAGTGTTAGACAGGGGGCAGCTGATAAAACCTATTTGCTCTACTGACGTCTAGCTCCTGGCTAGCTCAGTCGGCAGACCACTCCACTGGGAGAGGTCCTTGTTTCTATACCATGACCAGACGGATTTTTTCGGTCGCGCTCCAGTCACATAGCTGTGTTCGGAAATTTGTGTTTGTCTTTTGCCCCTGTTCCACTTCTCGAGAGATTAATATCGTCATTCTTTTCCAGAAATCCTTGCACCTTTACATTAATTACATTATTCTGAAGTAGTTATTTTTTTTTAAGTACAGGTAATGAGTGAAATCGCACCTGATCGAGAAGTCGCTTGAGTTTAGAAGGGTTTAAAACATCAATTGAAAACGAGCGTATTGGTATATTAAATACGAATAGACGAACGAATAAAACATAGACATCAAGGACGTCCTCTATGTTTTATCCCTTCATGTATTCGTGTTTATTCGCATTCGTTCTCGTCCTCTGTTATAACTTTTATGGTATTCCTATTTAAAACATAGTGTTTTTCTTTGTTGCGATCATTAGGAACTTGCTTTTTTACATTCTTAAAATTGTTTGTTAACAAAATCTACCCAATTTTCCCATCACCCGTGTTCAACACTTTTAAGGCACCGATCGTGCAACAAAATGCTCCGTTCATCTCAATTTTTGTCGCATTTCTGGCTAAGCTATAAAGCCTTTATCTGCAGGATTAACGCTAGCTATTCGATGTTAAAGAGCATGTAACTTGAAAAGTGGATGAATGATTGTAAAAACGTGTTATTCTAGAAGAAAAATTCCGAGAAACAAAGGTTAAAAGCCTACGTGGCCCTGTACACTCAATATTTTACAGAGGGTATTAAGAAAGTTAAAACGAGTGGTATCTAGCCTTGTCAATTCAGAAAGTTCCGTCGATAAATTTCTTTTGCATCCATTTTCTTTTTCAGAGTGCACGACAACACTTGGAGGATTTATCAAACCATTATCATGGCTTAATCGTATACTCGGAAGTTTCACCATGGCAATATTTGCTCAAGAGATGAAGAAGGTTATAAGACTGAGAACGCAAAATCATGGTGTATGTGTTCCTTTTCGTGGCATTTATACATTTAAAATGTCCCAAAAATGTGACACCAAAGACTTGCATTTTTTAAATAAGAACCAAATAGAGGCGTGTGTTATTGAAACGATAAAGTTTATGGTAATGACATTAAATCTGAAGTCACTTCTGTCGGCAAATTTAATATATGCTAATAGTTAACTATGCTTAAGAAGTTAATATAGTATATTTGTTGTTATCAGCAAAATAATTGGGTTGTGAAACTAAAAACGCGAAATCTAGCTGCATGTGTTCTTTTTTCTCCGTATATGCATAATAAGTTAAAGATGTCGCACCACTGATTAAAATTTATTTTTAAGACTTTGGAAATCGAAGTGGTTTGGCTTTTACCTGAGAAAGTTTACGGAATTTAAATTAAATTGAAATGCACTTTGATTGTTTAACCTCGATGTTAATAGCTAAAATATGTTTGACAACTCATGATGTGTTGGCTGCAGACATGTACAAATTACTCAGAAAGGTAGTTAAGTAAATAAGTATCGACGCCAAAAGTAATTGGAGTAAAGTAAAAATTACGCATTTGTAATAGTAATTGAGTAAACTACTCACTACTGTAAAAAAAGTACCGAGTTACTTTGAAGTTACTTTTTTATATGTTTGGGGTTGTAAAATGAACAGCAATCTTGATCTTTGAAAAACCTTGCGAGCCTAAAATAAATGCAGTCATATTATGGCTTACGTTTTTACCAAAATACTTTATTCGCTCGCAGAAGCAATTGACTTTCAAAGATTTTATGGGAGTTTTTCCCTTTTCCTCCTAAAAACGTCCCCGGTCAAGCTAAAAAGACGTTCCACCGACGCGCAGGATGGAACGGCAGCGTTGAATTTCAGAGACAGGCTGTGCAGGGTCGTTTAAGCGAGTCTCGGCGTCTTAGGTGTCCACCACGAAACATTTGAGGTTTGCCTCGGCTAGAGGGTCTTTATAACAAACTCTCCTCCTTTTTTTCTTTTTTTTTTCTTAGGCAAGTTGAAATTGTTATGACTGGCCCCTCTTTAATCTTAGAACATTCGGAGACTACGCTGATCGAGTGCACCCAACCGTCAAGGGTTCAAGTCTCACGCCATGACGATCAGATCATCCGGACGACTGCGCGTCTCGTTGCAGTGATAGTGCTACGCTACTTTAAAAAGAAAATTGTTGTGGTTTAACAGAAAATGAAACGAAGCACACCTCGCCGCTGCCGCCGGGTCCAACAAAAGCATCTTCCAAGAGTGACTCGCAAGTCTCGCCGGCGACTAGGGTATCCTGACACTCCTGACAAGTAAATCGTTTTCAACAAAGAGGAGGTCTCCCTGGAGTGGAAGGTCGGAAGGACGCGAAGGATTACGTGAACAAGCACCGTCGCTCGTACAGTTGCAGCTCGAAGCGGGAGCGTGCTCCCATGAACGGATTATCCGTGTCTGCGTTTGTGCGCGGGGAGTCCGGCTTTGCAAGGCATTATGCGCTGACGACGAGGCAACCATGGGAACAGGCGCCCAGCTGCGAGGTCATTTCAGTCGCGCTTCCCGTGGAACCTCCAAACCGATTGAGGCAGAACTCACTAAAAGCAGACAACATGAAAACAACAACAACCCTCGGAGTGTCCCCGTCTTTCACGGTTGCAGCTGGAGCCGCGGCGCCAGCGTGCATTACCGGATTAGGTCAATACTCGACCAAGGCTTGGTATACTTGGTTTCAGCTCAGGCCCGAGCGCGGCCGATGTTATCAGCCGAAGGGCCAATCAAACAGCGAAAGAGTCATCACGTCATGGCGTGTTCTGCAGCTGAAAGTACTAGCCGGTATTCGCCGTCTCTCTCCGTGCTCCTCCACCGGCCAGTCCTATCAAGCGCGGAGAGCACGCCATGACGTTGCGCTTTTTGCGCTGTTTGATTGGCCCTTCGGCTCATAACATCGGCCGCGCTCGGACCGAAGGTGAAACGAAGCATAAGCATCTCTTCCTGCGTTCGTGCGCGCCGGTGTTATATTTTGGCTGCTCGTCGCTACCTTGGCCCAAGGACGCCTGTGATACAGTTTTTGCGGCTGCCGAGTTTAAGTGCGTGGGAACGGAATGTGATGGTGCCCCATTTTCCGGAATGCCACTTCATCTACCGGCGTCTTACTTATTTCTGCGCTGAAACGTTTGCGATGAGCAACATTAGCACTACATTTCGAAAGTAGTTAGTAATTTGAGTATAAATTACCTGAAAAACATAGTTGAATTAAACTACTAATTACTCAAATAAAGTTGTAATTGAAAGTTACCAAGTTACTTGGAGAAGTAGTTAAACTACAGTAGTTTGAGTAGAGTAGTTGAACTACGTCCATGTCTGGTTTGCTGTTATCAAGGAGCTTGCGACTGGACCTTAAACGTGTTTAGGTTTTAACAGTTTAATATATTTTTGCTATAGCCGAGACAGCAAGCCGCTCAAAAATTAAGCCATTTCACCACCAACCCTTTGGTTCATAAATGTTCATATGCTAAATTATCAGTTTTAAAATGTAATGATCTATAGGTACCAATTAAAACGTTTTGTTCCGCAAATCAAGCAAATGCAGGTCGACTTCATTTCTGTTTAGCATCCTGATACTTGTAAATTGTATTTTTTTTAACTAAGGATCATCTAATCTCTTTAGTTTATTTGTGTATAACCTGGTAATTGTTTTACATGCATTTTTACCTAGGTTGATAGTTTTTAGGGTTGAGTTTTCTACCTAAGTGTAATATATAGAGCACTTGTAATAAATGGCGATATTCATGCAGATGCAAAGAAATGATATGCTGCAAAATTTCTTGGAAGCGGAAGTGATTAACAAGTACCCCTTCAATAAAATCGCATCAATGAACGCCAAGAACTCAGAAGGTAAAATATAATATTTATTTTTAATAAATAGATCACAGAGCAATGACCTTTCTTGAGCAATTTAACATCCGAGTGTGGAAAATATCAAGCAAAATTTAAAAAAAAACACGATAAATATGACGAATGTGGCTCATGGCACTAGATTCTTAGGTATTCAAACTGTTTACCATCGCTGCTATACTAGAAGTTCAATTGGAAAAGGTTCCAACAACTAATGTAGAAATAATTTATCAAGAAACGTGACTCTAACGTTTCAACTGCACGATCGTTCACAGAAGTCTGAATACTATACAAAAGTACAAATTTAAATTTGAGAACAGCGCGGGTTTTAACTAGAATTTCTTCCCTGGCCTTGAGTTTACTCAAAGTATGGAGATGCTGTTTTTGTCTGGCGTGAGTCTTTAAAGATATTTCTAGGTTTTCTTGAAGTGATCTATTCGCTTAAGCTTGTTCAAGTTACGTTAATTTTGAGACAGCTCCCTTGATGTTGCGTTATAAAATGCAACATTAAGGTTGAACACAAAACAGACTATTGTTCTTCTAAACTTCTGACTTTATAACACCAAAAGTAATTTTTTTATTAGAGAATGTGCTTACGGGTTAGATTTAATTGATATGTGTAACGCTTGAGTGGGACGAAAAAATGTTACACGCATATTGATGTGCATATTGATCGAAGGCAGGACGTCGCAGGATGTGCATATTGATCCAAGGCATATAGAATGCATCATTAGTCAAAAACTTTAATCCATGTTCATATCTAGGAATAACACCTAAACCAGAGAAATTAACCGATGAACTCGGCGGTATTAGAATCCCGTACTACGCGCAGTCCGACACATTTGCTCGGCGATACAAGTAAGAGAGGAACGAGAGTACAAGCAACGAGACAAAGTAGGATTTGTCGCAGACGGTCGTCTGCGGTAGCATGCGACTGTCCGCGGCGAGTAATTCCTTGTACACCATATACGAGGCCCAGAATACTCAGTCCGCAGTCGACCATCGGGGGAGAGTTGTACTTAGTCTGACACACTAAATCCGCAGTCGACAGTAGGCACCGAATTCTACTTAGTCTAGAATACCTAGTCCGCAGGCTACAGTCGCAGGTGAGCTATACTTTGTCCAGCGTATACTGTGTCGGCAGTCGACCATCGGCGATTTTTCATACTTAGTGCAGGGTACTTGGTCCTCGGACGACCGTTGGTGTCTGGGGTGCTTAGTACAGCATACTTAGTACGCATGCGACAGTTGCCGGCTCGCCGGCGTGTTAGTCCCAGTCCAGCATACTTGGTTTGCAGTGGACCGTCGGCGGCGAGTCATACTTTGTTCAGCGTACCGAGTTTGTGACAGTTGCCGACAACTCGTACTTCGTTCATCGCACTTAGTCCGTAGACGATCGGCGGCAGCGAGTAAAGGCCCGTTCACACTCTTGCGACCTCTTAAACCTGGGTTCCTTACAACTTCTTAAACCAGAGAACACACTGGCGCCATCTATTGGGGAGCAGTGTAAACTCGGCGGTCCGGCATATTTTTTTATTTCTCGCGCATTATCCTTTCTTTCTTGGCTGTAAAAACTTTTTTCAATGTTATAAATGAGCCTTTCTATGGGTATTACGCATATTTGACCTCGGAAATCTCGCAAAACCTTCGCTCTTGTGAAATGCAGTTCCAGGGTCACCGCATAGATGGCGCCACAATGCCAGTGTGCTCCCTCATTCTAAAACATTTAAGAAGTTTTAAGAGATCTCGTCTCTCTCAGTCGAAGTCGGTCGCAAGAGTGTGAACGGGCCTTAATGCTTAGCCCAGACGATATTTATGCCTAAATCCTGTCGCAGCCAACGCTGCTAACAGATCGAGTTAATCGAGCACCGCCAAAAGCGCAACGCCCGGCGATTATTTTCTCTGTGTTTGCTTTCGCCGGCCAAATAAATCACACCAGAAAAAAACGCAGAAGGATGGCGCCTTCGTTGTGCGCGATTGGTTTCGTCGGTGAGAGCAAATCTTCAAAGAAGATTAACGCCGTGACGACGCACCTTTGCCACTCCTTGATTGCCTCCATCGAATCGTAGCGTCGGCGGCGGTCGTGAAACGGAGCATGGTACGGAAGTGACTGTCGGCGGCGAGTGATGGTGCTTTGTCCAGCATATCCTTGGTTCGCAGCGAGATTATCGTCGGTGCGCGCAGCTGGTTCCCACTAAAGTCACAGGATCTGGGAAAGCAGCGCCATTGCCTTCCCACCTGCAAGCCGGACACGAACAAATGCCAACATACGTACGACAAAACCTATCAAGGTGATCGACTCGTCGCTGTTGGTTGCCATGGTGATCGCCCTTTTGGACATTTTCAAAGCTTGGTACGACTGGTCGTTAAGACCAGTCGTACCAAGATCGCTATGGAGCATCATCGTACTCAAAACGTTCCTCGGCCGATATGAGCGTCTTTGGCACTGTGCATGCACAGGTGTACGGGACTCTGCATGCCGTACACCTTCTTACAGCCATCACACACAACGTCAGTGCTTCAAGGCATTGAAAAATAATGTTACTGTCTTGAAACACGCAAGCAGAGCAACATAAGTGAAAGAGATCTGGAGAAATAAGCATGAGCGATTCGTTTATGGGATGCACTGTGCCAAGGACGCTCACATCGCCCGAGGAACACTTTCAGTAGCTTGATGCTCCATAGCGATCTTGGTGCGACTGGTTTTAACGACCCTTTCGAAGCTTTGCAAGGGTTCAAAATGGCGATCATCATGGCGACCGACAGCGATGAGCAAATCACCTTGAGAGGTTTTGTCGTCTGTTTGTTGGTATTTGATTGTGTACGGCTAGCAGGTGGAAAGGCAAGGACGCTATTTTCCCAGATCCAGTGACTTTAGCTCCCACCAAAGCGGTGGATGAGTTTGAATTTTATAAACATGTACCGCCAAGTTAGTGTATGCTGGGACGCATTCGAGCCAAAAATAGCGGAGCCTCGCCGCCAATTGTGTTAGTCGCGGCGGCGCGGCGTCGTCACCTACAAAGATACCAACGGACGAGTGCTCGCGAACATCGGCGCGCCACCGGCGGTCACAGCAGATCGATGGGAGCATGCGGGTCTGGATGTGGGTGTGCCATGGGCCAAAAATGGCGACGCATCACCGGCATCCAATGGGAGCGCCCGCGGCATAATCAAACGATTGCGGTACTTGGATAAGTCATTATATCCAGTGCTTTAGTTCCCGACGAGGCGTATTCGCGACTCCAGCGACCTATAGGGGGCGCCACCACCAAACAAACATGGCGGCTGAGTCCAGGTCGCGTCGGCTCGGCCGGGCCGCCTAAATGGGTGGCGCATTCAATTTAACAAATTTTTTTTTGTTGAATGCCCAATTTTATGGGTATTTGAACTGAATCAGTTAAGTGTAGCCGGTGCGCATAAACTTTCCGAGCATAGCTTTGTTTTGCCGGTGTTTTTTTTTTTTTGTTCTTTTCATGTCAAACTTTCGTTTCGGAGACTTCGATCAAAACCGAAACTATGGGCTCCGGAGAAACGGTCGTAGACTCTAATTAGTTTTGATCATCTAAGGAAAGCGGCGAGGGCTACAAAATTGTTCCACCGAGAGTAATTTTTAGCTAACTCGCATGCCTCGACCATGCGACTTATCTGTCCGCGAAATTGAGCTTTTGTGCCTGTCCGCGTTTCAAGAAACAGCTCCAGTCGTGTACTCGGTCAAGAACACAGGCTGCAGGAAAATTACGAAAATTAAGCAAGCGCTTCTTGAGCCAAGGAGCATGTCAACTCGCTGGCGCTTTACCAAGCAGCTGATACTCGTATTTCAATTCAGGTTTTAGTAGCAATCGAGAAGTCATTTTGACGAATATGCGGATTATGTATTATATTACGTACTGTGCCCCACTAAAGCGATATCAGTATATTCTTCGGGTTGAAATATGAACTTAGTTAACTAAGTATTAGGTGAACTGCTGAATAAAAGTGTATTTAACAGACAGAGAGATACTACTTAAACTTAGCCAAATGGTTCTAGCCGGTAGAACGGAGACGAATGCGGACAAACTGAGGAGAGTCTTCATAGGAGATTCACTCAGACCTCTCTGCATTGAACTTGACTTCGAATCCTGAACGGATAAAATGAGTATTTTTTGTGGCCGGTCAACCTGAGCAATGTAGACGTATATTGCTGCTGGCTTCGACAGGGTTTATAATATAAATATTGGAGGCGCGATAGATCCTAATGACGTGACAGCTTCTAACTTTGCGAGACGCGTCCCCCACCTTTTGAAAGCAGATAATTTACCTCGTTAATCATATGCAGCGAGCAGGTTTTCTGAATCAAGTAATTGCGAAATTAGCCCAACTTCTTCAGTGTGGTCTTTTTCGGCGAAAAGCCGCCAAGACGAGTAGCCAACGCACCGGCCGGCGTTAGTGGCTCAAATTAACTTGAAGCTAATCGAGCACAACCAAACTCAATGAAAGCAGCTATCGAACCTTCCCATTCACTTGACTGCAACATTGGTCTTCCCTCCAGTGAAACACTTCGTCTGTCGACCTCAGTCCACTGTTCTACATCCTTATAAAGAAACCACTTATCAGTTACCAAGCAGTCGTCACTTTGAATGTGATTAGAGACAGACGAGAAATCAAAACGTTTTTTCGTGATTCCTCCTCATACAAAAAATTGAAAGCACACGACCGTGTGTTGTGGAGTAAACGGGCTTCCAAACACGTGATGGAAAGAAACAATCTACTGAGGCTTCACCACACTAATGAACACTCAGGCAAACTTAAGAAATTTTCGGACCTTCGTCAAATTACATTGCTCGCCCCCGCGCCGACAGAACGTGTCCGCGAAAGCCATCAGAGACGCGGCGGGGCGCGGAGCGACCTGGACCGACTGGTTCCCGGTTTTCCCTCTTGGCGGCGTCCGTTTTGCTGGAGTCGCGAATACTGGAAAGGACTTAATT